GTGATGGTTCGTAAACCAATCCCAAAAGTGCAAAAAGGCAAACAACAAGGGACTATCAGTTTAATGACAACAAATGCACCTTTATTAAGGGCCAAAACAAAAAATGCAATAGTGGGGTCAGAAAGGAGATAAAAGGATAGAGAAAGAGAGAGAGGAGGTGGGGGGGGGGCGGCAATGGGAATAGCTCCCAACACAGGCGAGATCCTCACTGGTCCGGACGATGGGGATCCGTCTTGTTGTGTCGGGGAGAGTCTCCAAAGTCCTAACCAACCCAGGGGTCCAATTATACTCCACCAGGGAGAAAGAGGAGAACATAGAGTCTATTGATATTGCTGTGAGGGAACAGGTGAGTCCAGTGAAACCACCAAGGCAGGACAAACACAATGAAGAATAAGTCCATTGAAGTTACTGAAGGAAAACCAGTCATGTCATTAGTGGTCACACTACCACTTCCCCCACTCCCTGTGGTAGGGGTCTCAGTCTCAGTCCCTGGGGAGAGGGTTCTCGATCTCCATCTGTCACGGTGGTAATGAGGCAGGTGAGGGGTCTTCAGTGAGAGACCACCAGGGTCACCCCACCAGTTCATTCGGTTTAAGGCTGGAGGGTGAAGTAGGCACTGCAGCAGGGCGCCCTGTGCTGGGTCCATGCCAGGTCTTTGCCAAATCCATGCCAACTCCTGGCCAAGTTATTGCCAGGCCTCGTTCGGACAGCTAAGGTAACGGTACAGCGGCTGCACCTGCACTGTTGCCTGGTCTGAGCCAGAACTGCAGTGGGGGAAGGGGTTCTTCCTCGTGGCAATCAGAAGGCAAATGGAGAATGAAGGGGTTTCAGACAGCCTCTTACAGCAGGCGGTGGGATGTGGTCCTGGCTGTGGTCAGAGTGGATGGAGAGTCAGTGATTGGGAAATCCAGGGATGGACCATGCAGCTCCTCAGCAGCTCCCTGCAATAGGATGGATTCAGTGGGGAGGAAGAGATGTGCAGGGGAGGAGGGTGGTGGAAATTGTGGGTTGGGAGAGGGAGGTGGGAGCATCAAGCTGTTCAGCGGGATACAGAAGTACCAGACAGAGAAGAGGAGGGATGTCCTGGGGAGGGCACAGCTGTCACCAGGAGAGGGTGGCAGGAACAGAGCAGCTGCTGGAGGAGAGGAAGGAAAACATTCCACTGACCTGTTCCCTGTGGGGCAGCAGCAGGCAAAGGGGTCTGTGCAGATCAGCAGCGCTTCCTGGTTCCTCTTGCTCCTTTGGGATCCATGTCCTAAAGCGGCTCCTGCCCGGTCAGTGACATGAAGGAGAAAGTGCCCAGATCACCAGGAGCTCCCCACTCCCATCCCACTGGCCTGTCTATGCCCTGTGCTGGTGTTGCCCCCCCAGACTTAGTAGGGTCACAAGGCAGTCAGAAGTGATTTTACAACTTTGGCTACATCAGAGTTCCACAGCCTTAGGGTTACTGATCTTGATTTTTTCTTTCTTTGCCACAAAGCAAGAAGACTTTATGAATGGCTCTTCATTTTCTCCTAGTAAGAATCACTCCTTCCCAAGAGAAAGTCCATTGTCTGACTGCCTTCCCTATACCAATATGTTTCTACCATTCCTTGTTTCTCTTCCGTGAGAGGTCATGCTCCCTCCAGCAGCAGAGGGATGCTGGTGGTTCTGGCAGCACTGCAATTTCACCAGTGCTCACAGTAGTGCTGATAAAGAAGCTGGGTGTATCAACTCCCAATCTGGGAACAACTCCATGTTCATTGCCAAAACATGCCTTGGGCCCAAGGAAGCACAGCTGAGCTGCTCCCAGTCCAATCCCCATCCCATGCTCATGCTGGCTCCCCATCCCCATCCCCACCCCATTCTCCGTCCTCATCCCATCCTATCACATCCCACAGCTTTCCCAGACAGCACTGAGGGAGCTTTCTTGCTGCCTCACTCTGAGTGTGGCCTTTGAGGCTCTGTTATCCTCTGGGATGGCTGGTATTCAGACCTGCTCCAACCCCTGACCCTCTCCTGACCCTTTTGAAATCACCTCCAACACCCCAGACCATTCCCAGGGCCCATTTTCCCCCCAACAGCCCCACTCCTGCCCCGCTCCATCAGGGACCCTGGCAGTGTCCCTGCCTCTCCTGGCCATAGTGTTCTAGTATCCAGGAGGGAGGAGGAAAGCCCAGCTCCCCTGTGCTCCTCAGGATCACACAGGATGATAAACACAGCTGGAGCCAGTGCAGAAACAGACAAGGAGGCCTGCAGTGGTGTTGGGGCAAATTCTTTCAAAAGAAGCAAAAGCACGTGGCCAAAGGAAAAGTTCAAGGCAGGGTCAGTTTTACTATCACAGCACTGAGTGAATGCGACCACCAGAGACCCCATCTGATTGATCCTCCAGGACCAGGAAAGGACTTTGAGGTGAAGGTGAATTCATGGAAATAAGTTCTAGGAAAGTGATATTTATGTATTATATAAGAAACACATATTAATGACTATGTGCGGTCATGATGGATAAAACCCTTGTTGCAAAGTCTCATCACAAACAGAACAAGGAGAGATCCTTCAGTGTGTCCTGAGGAGGGAAAGAATTCCTCCCTCCTAATGCTTTGCATTGTGTTTGAAAANGTGGGATGTGGTCCTGGCTGTGGTCAGAGTGGATGGAGAGTCAGTGATTGGGAAATCCAGGGATGGACCATGCAGCTCCTCAGCAGCTCCCTGCAATAGGATGGATTCAGTGGGGAGGAAGAGATGTGCAGGGGAGGAGGGTGGTGGAAATTGTGGGTTGGGAGAGGGAGGTGGGAGCATCAAGCTGTTCAGCGGGATACAGAAGTACCAGACAGAGAAGAGGAGGGATGTCCTGGGGAGGGCACAGCTGTCACCAGGAGAGGGTGGCAGGAACAGAGCAGCTGCTGGAGGAGAGGAAGGAAAACATTCCACTGACCTGTTCCCTGTGGGGCAGCAGCAGGCAAAGGGGTCTGTGCAGATCAGCAGCGCTTCCTGGTTCCTCTTGCTCCTTTGGGATCCATGTCCTAAAGCGGCTCCTGCCCGGTCAGTGACATGAAGGAGAAAGTGCCCAGATCACCAGGAGCTCCCCACTCCCATCCCACTGGCCTGTCTATGCCCTGTGCTGGTGTTGCCCCCCCAGACTTAGTAGGGTCACAAGGCAGTCAGAAGTGATTTTACAACTTTGGCTACATCAGAGTTCCACAGCCTTAGGGTTACTGATCTTGATTTTTTCTTTCTTTGCCACAAAGCAAGAAGACTTTATGAATGGCTCTTCATTTTCTCCTAGTAAGAATCATTCCTTCCCAAGAGAAAGTCCATTGTCCGACTGCCTTCCCTATACCAATATGTTTCTACCATTCCTTGTTTCTCTTCCGTGAGAGGTCATGCTCCCTCCAGCAGCAGAGGGATGCTGGTGGTTCTGGCAGCACTGCAATTTCACCAGTGCTCACAGTAGTGCTGATAAAGAAGCTGGGTGTATCAACTCCCAATCTGGGAACAACTCCATGTTCATTGCCAAAACATGCCTTGGGCCCAAGGAAGCACAGCTGAGCTGCTCCCAGTCCAATCCCCATCCCATGCTCATGCTGGCTCCCCATCCCCATCCCCACCCCATTCTCCGTCCTCATCCCATCCTATCACATCCCACAGCTTTCCCAGACAGCACTGAGGGAGCTTTCTTGCTGCCTCACTCTGAGTGTGGCCTTTGAGGCTCTGTTATCCTCTGGGATGGCTGGTATTCAGACCTGCTCCAACCCCTGACCCTCTCCTGACCCTTTTGAAATCACCTCCAACACCCCAGACCATTCCCAGGGCCCATTTTCCCCCCAACAGCCCCACTCCTGCCCCGCTCCATCAGGGACCCTGGCAGTGTCCCTGCCTCTCCTGGCCATAGTGTTCTAGTATCCAGGAGGGAGGAGGAAAGCCCAGCTCCCCTGTGCTCCTCAGGATCACACAGGATGATAAACACAGCTGGAGCCAGTGCAGAAACAGACAAGGAGGCCTGCAGTGGTGTTGGGGCAAATTCTTTCAAAAGAAGCAAAAGCACGTGGCCAAAGGAAAAGTTCAAGGCAGGGTCAGTTTTACTATCACAGCACTGAGTGAATGCGACCACCAGAGACCCCATCTGATTGATCCTCCAGGACCAGGAAAGGACTTTGAGGTGAAGGTGAATTCATGGAAATAAGTTCTAGGAAAGTGATATTTATGTATTATATAAGAAACACATATTAATGACTATGTGCGGTCATGATGGATAAAACCCTTGTTGCAAAGTCTCATCACAAACAGAACAAGGAGAGATCCTTCAGTGTGTCCTGAGGAGGGAAAGAATTCCTCCCTCCTAATGCTTTGCATTGTGTTTGAAAATGTTTTCTGACCGATTTTGGTATCACTCCCACTTCCCATCTCCACTCCTCTCCCCATCCCGTCCTGTCCCGTCCCGTGGCTGCTCCTTGCCTTGAAGTGCTGCCTATCGGGCTCTGCTGCTCTCCAGTCAGGACATTGGGATCAGCAGCATTCAGACCCTTCCCGAACTCCTCCAGACCATCCCAGAACTCTCTGATGCTTCTGGAACCCTCTGACAATCTCCAGTCCTGCCCCAGGGTCACCTTTTCCCCTAGGACAGAGCAGGGCAAGCACCAGCCATGATAGGTGCTGGGGACAGTGGCAGCAGTGCCAGAGAGGGCAGTGGATGGAGCTACAACTCCTGATGTTTGTGTATGCCAGCATGTACAGCCACATGCTGTATGACACCGGTAACATCTGGAAAAGCATCACCATGTACTGCAAGGGCAGGATGATAGAGCAGGACATGTCCTCCAGCAGGAAGAGCAGAGAGGAGGGCAACAGAACGAGGAGGCAGAGGAAGTTCAAAAAAGTCAGGATGAGGATGTAATGGGTTGTTGTGTTCCTGGATGAACAGCGGAAGTCAAGGAAGCAGAGCACAGCCCCATTCCCAGCCAGCCTGCAGAGGCAGATGGGCAGTGACACACTGTGCATGGCCACACTGGTGACATCTGTCTCACAGACGTTGTCTCCTTCAGTTGGTGAGGCAGGAGATGAGGACACGGTGGTCACCTCCATGGATGGATGCTGGGCAGGCGGTGGCCCTGGCTGTGGTCAGAGTGGATGGGGAGTCAGTGCTTGGAGAATCCAGGGATGGACCATGAGGCTCCTCAGCAGCTCCCTGCAGTGGGAAGGATTCAGTTGGGATGGAAGAGATGTGCAGGGGAGGAGGGTGGTGGAAATTGTCGGATGGGAGAGGGAGGTGGGAGTGTTGGGCTGTTTTGCAGGGGATGCAGAAGGGAAGGACAGGGCAGAGGAGGGGGGAGCTGGGGAGGGCACTGGGGTCACTGGGAGAGGGTGGCAGGAACAGAGCAGCTGCTGGAGGAGAGGAATGTGGGGCAGGGAGGAAGAAATCATTCCCCTGACCTGTTCCCTGTGCGGCAGCAGCAGGCAAAGGGGTCTGTGCAGATCAGTGGCACTTCCTGGTTCCTCTTGCTCCTTTGGGATCCATGTCCTAAAGCGGCTCCTGCCCAGTCAGTGACATGAAGGAGAAAGTGCCCAGATCACCAGGATCTCCCCACTCCTGCCCAGCAGGCTCCACGACATTCCCGTCCTGATAATTTTCCCAAAGGCTCAGTGGACGCATGGAGGAGCGAGGGATTGAAAGTTTGTAACTTTGCCTACTTCAGAAATTCA